GTCTTAAAAAACCCCACAGCACCCCGTGCGGGAGCGCCTGCCAGTGGGTCTGACCAGAGCCAGGATGGGATTCTGACAGCCCAGTACACAGTACCTACCAGGTTTTCCAGTCCCGGTCAGGTCATCTTTGGGGGACTGGAAATGGGTCGCCTAATGGTGGGACCTCCACCTTCTTATCATCCTTCACAACAACAGCAAGAACAACCAAATCACCATCAGCAACAACAACAACATCAGCAGCAGCATCAACAACTACTACAACACCACCCACAGCTTCAGCAGCAGCAGATACTCCAGCAGCAGCACTTACAACAGCAGCAGCTTCAGCAGCAGCTTCAACATATACAACAGCATCATCAACAGCAGCTCCAGCATCACATACAGCAACAGCAGCAACAACAAATTCAGATTCAGCAGCAGCAGCAACAGATGCAACAACAGCAGCACCACCATCAGCTTCAGCAACAGCTTCAAATTCAAATTCCCGTTCCCTCTATGTCATCAGGACAGTCTTCAGGTGCGGCTATGCATCAGCTCCAGCTGGGGGCACTACAGATCCAGATCCCTCAACCACCGTCTAATTTAGTGGTTGAGAGAGCTGTTGGGGGTGAACAGGATCACCTACTGAAAATCAAGACTACTCGGTCAACTCCACAGCTGGCTGAGGGTGACACAGTGGTGTTCAGTGCCCCTCTTGAGCTCAGCAAGATGAACCCCCCACCCCCCTACCCCGGTACAGTGGCTGCTTCTGCCTCAGTATCAGCTTCTACTGCAGCTTCTAATGCCGCATCTGAAACAGGAGCAGGCACCAGTGGGACTCCTCCTCCTGGTGACCTTTGTTTGAAGAAGGGAGAGTTCCAACTTTATCCTTCAGGTCAGCAACAAGCGCAATACCCCACACCACTGGGATATGAAAGGATAACGACATTTGACAGCAGTGGGAATGTGGAGGAAGTATGTCGTCCTAGAACGCGCCTTGTCTGCAATCAGAATGTGTACACACTCCAGGGACCTGGCAGCTCTGCCACTCTCAGGGTCACCTCTTCATCTTCCTCCTCCTCCTCTTCAGCTGACCCTACACCTCTGCCACTCTCAACAGACTCACTGTACCTCGCTACTCCATACCCAGCGGAGACCCACCCCCTTACCCTGACCCAGCCAATCAGAACAGTTCTGTAGGCAGGAATCCCGGGCAGAGGCTGGACAGCAGTCTGATCCATGCCACTCTCAGGAGGAACAGCCGAGAGGCCGCTCTCAAAGTTTCCCAAATGCTGGAACCGCCTAGACCACTGCCTCCTAAGGCCAAAAATAGCGCTCTAGCAGCCTCATTCCAGCAGAGGGTTCCAACAGCCTTATATACATGCAGTCAGTGTAGCAATGGATCAAGTGTAGGAAATACTACCCCAGGGAGTGCTAATGGAATAGCAGGAGGAACTATTATCAGACAAGATTTCCCTTCAGGGAATGGGGCACCACACAGCACAGTTATTGTTCACTCCAATGGTGCCACTCCTCTGTCCTCCCAGTCTTCTTACAACCTGCTGCACTCTCTTGAAGGATCTGGGAATGCAGCAGGGGGAGGAAGTAACAGAGACAGGGCTGACTATGTTAATTCAGCATTTACTGAGGATGAAACAATGAACCAGACACTGAAGAATCTGGCACTAGGAGCAAATGATGCATCAGGGCTAGTTGTCAGGCGCCCACCTCCCTACCAGTGGGACCCAACTGCCACCGAGGAGGTGTGGGTTCCTCAGGAAAGGACAGCAACATTCAACCCCACAGGCCTCTCTGGATCCCACAAACCATCCCCACTTATTCTTAGTCCAGCTCAGCCCTTGGATGCATCCAGGCTACCTTTTGTACTTTCTCCAAAGTCCCCCATCAGCCCCAGTGCTGCATCATTTCAAGCTGCTGCAACAGCGGCAGGGTACCAGATCTCTCTCCAGTACCCTTCAGCAGCTGCCTATTCTGGAGCGCAGCTCCAGCCTGTGCCAGGGTCACCACATCCCTGCTCCTCCCCAAAAGAGATGGTGGCACCAGTACCTTTCTCACAGCAGGATGCAGCCCTTGTCTTACAGCCAGGTTACCCTGCAAACTTGGCAAACCTCACCTGCTGCCCCCTTCCACCCATGTATCCAGGAGGAAGTGCCTATGCTGGGCTGCCCATTCCTCCCGTTGCCCTTCAAACTCCTTGGGGTACCTATAACTCTTGCCCCCCTATGCCCAGTCCCAGTCCTGCAGTGCCACTACCACCCAAAGCCTCCCACGTGGCAGTAGACAAAAGTGTTCTCTCACCTCCTCCTCCTGCACCACGACCCCCTCTGCCACCACCAGCAGAATCACAGAACCATGGAGGATTACAAGAGGCCATGGCAGATGCTGGGGATGGTTTTCAGGAGGTGCTGTCTTTAACTGAGAGCCCTGTGCCACAGCGGTGTGAAAAGTTCAGCAAGAAGAACCGAAAGCGTGCAGATGGTCGGGCTGATGAGGCTAACGTGCCACCTCTGGCTGAAGGGAGCAAGTCAAAAAAGGAGGGCAGGGCTCTGGGTGATTTCAACTCACTCATCTCCAGTCCACGGCTGGGAGGAAGGGACAAGAAAAAGCTGAAGGGACAGAAAGACCAGCAGTTGAAGGCTAAGAAGTTGAATAAAGCCACTGCCAACAGTGAGTTCCAAGACAGCTCGGAAAGTGAGCCAGAGCTTTTCATCAGTGGGGATGAGCTGCTCAATCAGTGCCAGAGTGGAAAAAAGGGCTGGAAGAGTAAGAGGAACCTGAGGACTGCCAGTGAACTGGATGAGATCAAGTGTCGAAAGGCCAACGAGAAGGAGGACAGAGGGCTTGGCAGCCAGGGGTTTGTGTATGTCATGGCCAACAAGCAGCCACTGTGGAATGAAGCGACACAGGTCTACCAGCTGGACTTTGGTGGGCGTGTCACACAGGAGTCTGCCAAGAACTTTCAAATAGAACTGGAGGGCAGACAGGTGAGAGAGCTTTAGCTCAAGCAGTATTACTCACTGCGTGCTATACTCATACTTTGCCTATTGTCTCTACTAATGTTTTTGTTTTTTGATTTTTGATGCAGGTGATGCAGTTTGGCAGGATTGATGGCAATGCCTACATTCTGGACTTCCAATATCCATTTTCTGCTGTGCAGGCCTTTGCAGTGGCTTTAGCCAATGTCACTCAACGCCTCAAATGAAATGTCCCCTTTCTGCTTACCCTGAGTTATATCTGGGATATAAATGCACTCTGCTGAAGGAGCACAGCTGTTTTCATTTGAGGTTAATAAACTGGAATAGTAAAAGCCCTGGTCATACAGAGAGAGATACAATCACGCTGCACTACACAATGCTGCCACTAGAGTTGGTGCAATATGCATTGGCTGCATTTGCCAAGGATCCCCTCAGATTTGCTCTGTTTGGCAGTCAGTGGCACCAGGCGATGCATGCAGGGCCAAAGAGCTGAGCTTTGGTAATCATCATGCAAATAAATGCTGCTTTAGCTACAAGACGTTTATAGATGTGATAACCAGTCGGTTAACCAAGAGAGGACTGTCAAGATGCAGTTTGTAAAAGAGGCAGCAGTAATACTTGAAAACCACACTCTGGAGATCAAAAAGTTGTTTTTTCCCCAGAGTGCACAGGTACTAGGCTACTGGACATTGAAATCCATTGCTGTACAAACCTTCGGTGAAACAGTTTTATTATACAGCTTTTAGGACTTTATTAAATGTTTAAACATGATGGAGGGTGGGAGTGCCATTTATTTAGTTACTATCTCGGTCTTTCTTGGCTGGAAGTGAGGCTTAGGTATCCATCCATCCATTTTCTATACCGCTTAGTCCCAAACGGGGGTCACGGGGGGCTGGAGCCAATCCCAGCCGGCTGCGGGCGAGAGGCGGAGTACACCATGGACAGGTCGCCAGTCCATCGCAGGGCTAGTGAGGCTTAGGTATATGCATTAATTAGGAGCACTACTAATAGTTCACACTTTTCACTGTTGTCAAAGGTGTGTCACTGTTAATCTTTGGAAGGTCAAGGAGTAAGTAAAGGTGAGGTGAACTGCAGTGTTTTCCACTTTGAAGGAGGAGAAATGTTACTCTGCTACATGGATTAATTTATGTACATTGTGTTGTTTATCTGTTCAGATATGAATTCTAACATTACTGTCATTGCTTGTGATATAAAATCTTCATACCTTGTCTATATGGATTTCGGCTTATATGCTGTATTTTGGAGACCGGTGGTAGAGTTTGAATATTGCTGTGTAGTCTGGAGTATTCAGGCGGGAGCAGTCTACAGAATAGCTTTGACTGACATGTCCTGTACTTAGTGAAATATCTACATATTGTGACATGGGCACAGGAGAAATCGCCAAGGCCCGGATTGAACAACTTTGGGCAAGTGATTTGTCACCTGCTGTCACTTCTGTGAAGTGATTATGTAGTTGGGAGACTGTCCCTGCTCTTAAAGACCACACTAAACATGTAAGCAAGGTACAGGAAATTTTATTTTTGTATATTTCACTTATGCCATTTCATACTCTTTTCAGAAGTCATGTAAATGCATATCAGTCATATGTATATGTTGTAAAGAGATATGGTTGACTTTGACAGATGTCTGTTTACATCTGTCTCCACTGTGTTCTAAGTGTAATTTCAGCTGTGGAGTGAAGCTGTAGTACCGTTAAACTCAACAGCTATGACCACAAAAAAAGTTTAGCCTAATACATTGTCACTGAATCTTTGAAGTCAGAACTCCAATGAAGGATGAAGCTATTGAAATTAAGCTGACACTGAATTCTGAAAAGCTGGTTTATTTTTTTTTTAATTTCAGGCAGTGAAGTTTGTGTTCATGCTTAAATAATGACACTGAGCAGGGCCAACCTTTTAAGAGTTTGGGCAAATTATTAGACACACCGCAGATACTGTATCTGTAATAGGTTTTATTTGCATAAGATGTTGCTAAATTGCTAAAAGCAACAGCAATGTTTCAGCTCATTGAAAGGCAGTTGTGATTAAGGTTACCTCAAATTTGTGCCAAAATATGCATTTGCTAAAATTTAAAGTTTGAATAAATAAACCTAGAAAGAAGTGTAACTTAATTCTAGGTATAAAAATCTGTCATTATGGTCTCTGAATTAATTAGAGTACATATTTTAGTGTGATATTTCCATGTCACAGCAAAATGTGTATCTCAGAGTGGGGTTGTAGGGTTGGGGGGGACTGAAAAAGAATTTCAGAAAAAATTCTAAACCGTTAAAAAAAAAACGTGAGCATATCCTAAAAAATTTTTTTTTTTTTTTTGTTGTGCAATATTTTCTTAGGGGAAAACGTCCTTTGTCATTACTTTTTACCACAGTTAATGCCGTTCTTTTAGTTTAGCATCTCAGTTACTGGTCTGTATGTTTTATTTATGAGATTATTTCCTAAAAGAGATATAGTATCTATATTTACTGTATATTGCTGAGTTTTTCCGAACATTTCTTTGTGTTGACAAAAGTTTGCAATTTTATCAGGTGATCTGTTGTAGATACTGTAGGATTTGGCTTTTCTTTAGGAAAGAGATGTGCTTTGTATTTGTAGGTGTAGATTTAAATGACAAACACTTGAAAAGTCAGATTTGATGACTGAACGTTTATAGTAAATGGATAGTAAGGCATGCCATGTAAATTATTTTATAATTGTATATGTACGCATCTTTTGAATAAAACATAATTGTTTCAGAAAAAAAATACTGGGTCTTGTCTCCTACATATTTGCTGTAATATTGTCAGGTTCAGAGATGGCATTGTTCAAACCTTGTTTGTTTGGAAATGGTTGAAGATATAGCCTTTGTTAGTGCCCTGTATTGATCACTAAGAGTTTAGCATACACAGACTCATTTTCAGATACAACGGCTCATATCTTAAAGATTTAATGAAAGTATGATTTTATTAAAATTGTGATATTATGTTATACACCCACAGACCCAGGTTACCAGCCCTCACTGGCGTGTCTGTGCTGTCGCTGCTCTCTGTCCGTGGTGCTGAACTCTCATCACGTGACCCATCTGCCGTATGCTTCCGCCCCCTCTTCATTTTTGTTTAGCTTTTTTTTCCGTCTTTGAAAGACACAAACTAAACGGCTTCGCCTGTAATTTAAATTCAAGGACTGAGCCAATACAGACACATCGTGCTGTCCTCTAAAGGCAGCGGATCGTGTCCCCTATCGCCATTTTGAGCCGCCAGACGGCTCGGTGTAATAATGGACACCGACTACTCCTCCGGTTTAGAAAACCCGCTGTACAGCGAGCTGAAATACTTCTGTAGGAAGATACATGAGGCTTACAACGATCTGAAGGAGGACCTGACACCTTACCGAGATGATCGCTTTTACAGGTGGGTTTAGCCTATCTCCTGAGACAATGGGAATTATCCTGCAGTGTTGTATCCAGGCCATTTTGTGCTGTGAATTATCATTTAACAATGCACATCTTAAACCAGAGCAGCATCAGAGCAGTTGTCATACCGCGACCTACTGTTTTATGATGGTAGATGCAAAGAAATGTATTCATCGCTTTGATTTATAAGCAAATGTACTCTTTTATTGTTTTATGTTTTGTTCCTTTGTATGCCTATAAAGCGGAAAGCAAGTGTACTCCCCAATAAATAGAATAATCCAAGAAAATGTTAGTGGAAAAAGGGAAAGCCACTGATGCTTAACATTTTCCAATACAATTTTCAATATGTAGGTTATTTGATTGATAATCCCACAATTTAAAGCGAAGTAGACGCCTTAGTTCCAATCAAATGCAACAAGTGTGGATTTGGGGAGTGGGTTTTAGCCATAGACCTGCGTTTGTTAATACCAGATTTCAAGTTTAAAATATGCATTTTGTCGTTCAACCTGTAAGGGATGGAATGATATGGCACAAATAGCTCATTAGAAATTAAAACAAACGTTGACATGAGATGTCACCGTGCTACACATGCGCAAAACCGCTGACCGGGCCTAAGATTTAGCTGCAGAAGGCGGTGGTGGGCATTTCGCATTGCCCGATGTCCATCCATGCCTTCAAGACTTTGAACCTCACGGCTTTTGGCTAAATAAAATACATTACCGCAAAAAAAAAAAAAATATGCCGACCAAAGGTAAAGCACTGAAAAATATATGACAATGTATATCTATAGAAGGAGGGAAGAAGGAAGCGACAGGATGGAGTGAACTCTCCTACATCCCTACTCAGGTCTCCTTTATCCACGTTCCTTTTCCGCCTCACTGGCACCACGTGACCCTTTTCGCCTCACTGGTACCACGTGACCTTTTTCCTTTCCTATCGTTGACATTTCAATTGTCGCAGAGTGATGTTGATATGCGGATGTTCGTTCACTGTCGAATTTTAGCGTTTTTTTGTCGCCAATAAGACCGTAACCCAAAATAAATGGAGCGGTAAGTGTTAGATTTAAGTAGCGGTTACACTGGAGATTTGTCAGTGATGTGTAAACGTGCGAACGGTGTTAAAACCGCGGTTACTGGTAGCTTAAAGTAGCATGGAAGCTAACTGGGCTGGCATATCCGCACCTGTACCATGTAGACTAACAACCACAAAACAAATATTACCTAACCACAGTCCGACTTTCTTCTTGTAGCTCTTGTGATTAGCTTGTGTGTGTTAATCATAACTAAAGTATCTCTGTGACAGACTGGCCCCTATGCGGCTCTATACCCTGTCTAAAAGGCATTTTGTCCTGGTCTTCGTGGCGTTCCTCATCTGCTTCGGCCTCACAGTATTCATTGGAATTGCAGGTATGCTTGATAAAGGTTATGGCAGCACTGGCTGGGTGTTGGTCAGGAATCATAATAAAACACAGATAGGTTTCCAGATACCGAGAAAGTGAACAAGTAATTTTGTCTGACAACAGAATACTTGACTTGGTAAACTGCTTGTTTACCCCTATTCAGCTCCTTTCTAGATAGTCCAGTGGATTAAAGTCTTTTTCTGTCATGCACTCTTTTGGAATCAGAAAAACATTTATGACTGCCATCCTCATGGTGAAACAACCTACTACTAATTTTTAGAAACCGCTAACAATTCACTAACAAAAAAAATCTAAATGACAGTGTTTTATTAAAATATCAAGAACACGAACAGCACATTTCCTTTTATTTAAAACAAATTACACAACATTGCCAATCAGAGTTTATCAGCTGAAAAGACAAGTGCAAGACAATTGAATCTTGATTATGTTGTTTGTGTGAACACTGCAGTTTACTGGTGTAGCATCCATGCTTTTCTCCCTGGGCATACATGTTTTCTCATGTCATTTCTTTTGCAACCACTGCAAATTTGAGATTGCCTTTTGTTAGAGATGGGTTTTTTTTATTAACATTTTGGTGACTTCAGCATTCAGCTGCTCTTACTGAAAGAGAAAGAGACCATTCTTAATTATGTAGCAGAAATGTGCAGATTTGTTTAGCTTAGTTGTTTTGTTTGCACAGAATGGGATTACTTAGTATAGTCATTTCAGTCATTTAACTAGTAAGATGTCCAGTGATGTTTAAATTAGTCTACACTTTGTAGACATGACTTGCACATGTTCATTTTTTTTCAAGGCCAAATAGATTTTTGCTTTGTAAAATGTGTTTGTGTTTTCTTCCTTTTTTTAGGCCCTAGGACTATTTCTGAGCAAGAGCATAGTGCTGATCAGTTACTTGTAAAAAATGCATCAGTTAAGGTAAGACATTTCTAAAGCAGAAAGGTGTGTATTACCGATCTTGTGCTAGTTTTTGGCTGCCACGTGTTTGAATGATAGGTCACAGGGATATGTTTTGAGAGTGTGCTAGAAGGAAATACTTCACTGTACATAACTTTACCATGTATCTTGATTGTCACAATTGTAAAACTGTACACCTCTTCCAAAGTTTTTTTTATTTTTTTTTTTTTTATGGATATGGTAACCCATTTGATTCATTGTGTGTTTTCAGACTGGGCCCTTCACTCTGCTTTCGTCTCCCCTAACCACCTACAACCAGCAGTTATGGCTCATCTGTGTCATGCAGGTTGAAAACAGCAATAGTAAGACCACACAATGAGCCACGGTTGTTGATATCTCTTCCTCTTTGATTATTTTCTAACCATACTTTGTTATGGTTAATAACGTCTTGATGCTACTCTCTGTGTCAGTGAGAGACTTCCAGCAGCCTTTTGAGATCAACGTTGAGCTAAAGGGGGTGATGCAGGATGCCAGTGTAATACACATCAGCAATGTGCACCAGAAATCACGAAAGCTTCACTGCGGGGCTGTAAGTGTCTATCAGCGACCCAGCCAGCCAGCCAGCTCGCTCGCTCTCTCTCTCTCTCTGGATTGTCATTTTTCTGTTTTTCTGTCTCTCTTTAAAGAAATGTGATGAGATCATAGTGCTCCATCTGGGCTATCTGAACTACACCCAGTACCAGGTCATGGTCAGCTTCAAGGGCCTTGAAAATATTACATATGAAATCAAGGTCAAGTTTGTGGTAAGTGACAAACAGTGGCAGGATTTTTTTCACCTCATAAAATGGATCAATATCTTTGTTTTTGTCGCTGCAATTGGTTTAGTATCTTGAGCTCACAGTCACTTACCACATTTTACTCTTGTTTTTCTCCTTTTTGTTCTTGTTTTCGATCCCTCCTTAGTGGAAAACCTACAATCCCACATTCTCACAAGTGGAAATCTGGTTCCGCTTCGTCTTTGTGGTGCTGACCTTTGTGGTGACGGTAAGAGGAGTGACACTGGTTACTTTAGGTCTTCCTCATCTACATTAATTTCACAGAGCCTATGTAATGCTTCCACACTCTGACCAAAAGTGACGGTGAACAAATGATGATGTGCATAAATCAGAAATTTCAAAATGACTTTTCCAGAATGCAGGATGACTAATAATATTTTTTCTCTGCATGTTTCAGTGCATGTTTGCACACTCACTGAGGAAGTTTTCTATGAGGGACTGGGGCATAGAACAAAAATGGATGTCTATCCTCCTCCCATTACTGCTGCTCTACAATGGTGAGTTTCAGTATTCTCCCTTTCAAAGAAGCATTTTACCTTTAATTTAGACACAATGTAACTTCTGTCACCCATTTACACTCAGGTATTTTAGTATATTCCATTATTTTCATTGCAGAAGTAGCATTTGGAGTCACACGAATAGTGGTTTTCATCTGTCAACTGCAAATGGTTGTTTTTTGTTGCTTTTGCTCTTCAGATCCATTCTTCCCACTGTCATTCCTGGTGAACAACTGGTTTCCTGGAACATTGGATGCTTTCTTTCAGGCTCTCTTCCTGTGTGCTCTGCTGCTCTTCTGGCTCTGTGTTTACCACAGCATCAGGGTTCAGGTAGGCCCAGTGTTGTTTGCATACTGTGATATTATCTACTTAGGCATCTAACCCCCTAATCCACCCTGAATACGTTTTTAGATGCCTTTTCTATGCACATCTCACACCGTAGATAGAACTCTTCTGTCAAATGTGTCAGTCCACACTGAATCTGAGATGCGCATCTCTCCTGCAACACTCACTTTTTATTTACACCTTAGGTCTTTTTTTTCCCCCCCTATTCCTCCGTGGCAGTGATAGCTGTGGCTGGAGGCATCATGTTTTCAGGTTGTTTGTCCATCCGTCCATACAGCCCATTCTTGTGAATGTGATATGT